AGCCCCCGGGCCGCCAGGCCGCCAGGCCGAGCTCCAGACGGTCCGGCCCCGGGGGCAGAGGAGAGGCCTCCGGGCTGTGGCCCGGACCCCTCCCAGCGCATGGCGGGGACGCCCCAGCCCCAAGTCTGTGTGTGTTGCTTTGTTAGTCGTTTTTTCTCCTATGTGTGGGTTTTTTTCTTGGAGCTGTTTCATAGGAATTCCTGTAATAAAGACTTGGTGTTCTCTTGGTGCTCTGATGCGGCCGGCGGTGTGGGCTGGACCCTTCTCTTCTTGCCCTGGGCAGGGTTTGGCCCCCCTCCCCGCACCCCGCCCCGCCCCGGCCCCAACCGGTTAACCCGCAGCGTGTGTAAGGCCCCAAGGGCTCATCCCTGGCCGCAGTGCACTCAGGAGGCGACACCTGCTACCCGCACAGCAGGCTCCCCCACCTGGCTTTGCTAAGCGCAGGCGCTTTCCTGTTTGCCCTGGGAAAGTAAACCGCTAGCTGATAGGCAAAGGAAAACACCAAGGGGAAAAGCCGGTCTGTCCGGAAAGCTCCAGCCGGTCACTTCCCCAAATAAACAGAAAGCTTCTGGAGTAAAGCTGAAGGGAGGCTGCAGGGATGTGCAATGTCAGACTTCAAAGGCCCGCAGAGATCTTCCCCTGCAAGTACCTCTAGCTTTCCCGTAGGCCGCAGCTCTGCCGGACTACCTCCCATGCCAGGGAACTCACCGCCAAAAGAGGAAGCTGGTGCCCTTTCCAGACAGCAGTTCTCAAGGTTAAAAAGTTCTTGTGTTGAGCCCAAAGGTTTCCTTGTGGCTTCCACCCACACATCTTGTTTCTGGGCTCCCAGTCACCCAGGCCAAGGCCACCGCTCTTACCCCCACGCCACATTTGAGCGCAGTATCTGGAGGAACAATGCGGGTCCCTCCTGCCCTCCTTAGAAAGAGGTTCTCCCTCACTCCCAGGCGGACCCAGGGGGGACAGCTGGTGATGCTCTCTCCATATCTACTGTTTGCACGTGGACAAACCAAGCTTATTCTTTTTTTTTTTTTTCCTTTTAAAGATTTTATTTATTTATTTGAGAGTGAGAATGAGAGAGAGCAGCATGAGAGGGGGAGGGTCAGAGGGAGAAGCAGACTCCCTGCCGAGCAGGGAGCCTGATGCGGGACTCGACCCCGGGACTCCAGGATCATGACCTGAGCTGAAGGCAGTCGCTTAACCAACTGAGCCACCCAGGCGCCCCCCAAGCTTATTCTTTAACCTAACCCTACTCTGTGCATTTTTTTAAAAAAGATTTTATTTTTAAGTAATCTCTATGCCCATCGTAGGGCTTGAACTTAACAACCGAGAGATCCAGAATTACATGCTCTACTGACTGAGCCTGCCAGGCACCCTGGCCCTATGCTGATAGGTGTGTAATCCCCAGAGCATAGTACTGACACCTAGGAACTTGTTAGGAATGCCAATTCTCAGCCCTACCCTAGACATACTGAGTCGGAGACTCAGGGAGTGTTGCCCAGCAATCTGATTCTTGTGTTTGGGAGACACCTGAGTGCTTAAAAAAAAAATCCTGATGCTCAGTACCCCAGTCCAATTAAATCAACAACCATGGAGTGATTTATTTTAAAGCTCCTCAGGTAATTTAAATTTGCAATCAAGTTGGAGGACCAACACACTGGGAAGTCTGGTAGGTGTTTCATATTAGCTCAATTAATCTTACCCAATAATGGCCACTTTATGGATGATGAAATGACAATTCAGAAACGTTAAGTAACTGGCAATATTGCAGAGCTAGCAAGGTGTGAAGCCAGAAACAGGGCCCCGGGCAGCCTGATTCCAAAACCTCTGTTCCATGCTCTCTAGCCCTGCGGCTCAAAGTGGGCTCATGCGCCCGCAGCACCAGTGACACCTGGGGCCCTACTCCAGATCTACTGAATCTGAAACTGGGAATATTTTAACAAGCCCTCCAGATGATTCTGATACATGCCAAGTTTGAGAAGCACAGTTCTACAACCTTACTACTCAAAATTTGTGCTAGGTACCAGCAGCATTTGTATCATCTGGAGCTTGATAGAAACAGAATTTCAGGGTCTACCCTAGACCTACTGGATTAGAATGTCCGTTTTAACAAACTCTTCAGGTGACTTGAATGCACATTGAGGCTGGAGAAACACCACTCTAGAATACTAGTTCTCAAACTTGCTGTACATTGGAATTATTCTCTCTCTCTCTCTTTCTCTTTCTCGCTCTCTCTCTCTCTCTCTCCGCCCAACATGGAGCTGGAACCCATGACCCCGAGATCAAGCGTTGCACACTCTTTTGACTCACCCAGCCAGGTCCTTCATATTGGAATTATTTCTGAAATTTGGGTCTCATTCTCAAAAGATTCTGATTTCATTGGTTTGGGATTTAGATTGTACATCTGGGAATCAGATTGCAAAAGCTCCTCTGGTGGTTCTAACATGCAGCAAAGTTTGATAACCATTCACCCTTTTGCCTTTTAGTGTAGCTGACTGAAGGTGACTGTAACCAGAGAGGGGATGTGGGGAGAGGAGGCAAAGAGAGCTTCCCAGATCCAACAGGAAGATGAAGATGCACAGCAGATGAAGCCTCTGCTCCACGATGAGTCCCTCCGTGTCGAGCAGTGTCCTCCTAGGACCTAGGAGGGAGTCCGGCTCTGCCAGACGACCCCCTTATCCATCTGCCCTCACATGCCAGGCTCATCGGCAGATGTTGGGCTCCTGGTACCCACAAGGTGATACTTGGAGAGTCACCTCCTGGAAAAGTGCTGGGCTGGGCTATCTGGAGTTCTGGCCCAGCCAGTGCCCCTCCCGCTTTGTGTGCTTCAGTGTCTCTAGGGCTGAGCCCCAACTTCCGAGGAGATCATGGGTCTGGAGAATGCTGTGCCCAGAACTGGCCTGGTTATTACCATGCTGGGGGCTCAACCCTCCCTCTGTTCTCTTGAGGCAGCTGGTAGGGGGTTGAGGTTGGAGGAAGGATGGAGAATTTGGTTTGCAGAAGGCAGGCAAGGCGTGGGGTGATGAAGATGATAGCGGCTTATTGAGTGCCCTCTGTATGCAAATTTTTTGGGGTGCTTTTATACATTATTTTACCTAATCCCCACAACTATTATGTGAAATCAGTATTATCACTCCTATTTCACAGATCAGGAAACTGAGGCACAGAGATGTTAAGGTCCTTACTCAACATGACCCTCAGTAAGTGGTAGTACTCACTACCCAGGCAGTTGAACTCCCAAACTGGTGCCTAAACACTAAGCTATATACTGGGGTGGGGGAACAGGTGATAAGACCTAGAACTCCTCCATAGATGCAATCTGCTGAGCACAGAAAGGTCTCCCTGATTAAAAACATTTCCATAGTGATGTGTATCCAACACTGTGCCTGGAACTCACCTATTAGCACCCTTTATTTGGTTTTAAAAACAATCTCTTAGCATTTCCATTAAATGGAAAATATGCTATTTAGAGAGAAGCACATGAACTCTTTTGCCCATTATCACAGCACAGGTTAATTTGTTGGATTAGCTGGCTAGGCCATCTGGAGGAAGATTTAGAAATTTCTGGAGATGGGCGGGGGCCTGGCAGGGGTTGAAGAGGGCTGTGTAAATCTACTGCCACCTGGTGGTCTCTCTTAGAATTGGCCATTGAGAGGCCAACATCATTCTCCCAGAAGGAAGTGAGCACCTGTTTGGCCAGAGACCAAAGAGACAGAAGGGAATTTACTCTATTTTCATGGTTATGTGTTTTGCAAATTTTGCAAAACAAAGATATTTTTGTGCTTTTTTTTTTCCTTAAAAGAGCCACTAAGATTACATAAGCTTGAGGCCCCACAAAACAAGCAGCCACCCTGTCATTTCTAGAGATTAAAGAGTCACAATTCTTTATCAGGTCAAGAGGATTATTCCAGGGACTCTGGAGTGAGGGGCTGCAAAGCTCAGCACAAACTCAGCTGGCTACGTCCTTCTTACTCAAAGTGTGCTCTGTGGACACAGTGACCAACTGTCCTGGTTTTCCAGGTCTAAACGTCCCTCGGATGTGCTGAGTTTCAATGCTAAAACTGGGAAAGTCCCAGGACTTGGGCCAGTCGGTTGCCCTAGCTGCAGATTAGCAACATTGGCATCAACTTGGGAGATTGTTCGAAATTCAGAGTTTGGGTCCTCACCCCAGACCGCCTGAGTCATGATCTGCATTTTCCAAGATCTTGGGAGGTTCAGGTGCACATTAAGGATGGAGTTGCTCTGCCTTCCACAAGAAAAGAGGGGCCCACAGCAGCCTGAAACATCTGCCTTCAAGGGTCGTATCCTCTGCTGGGAAAGCTCCAGAGTGATTCCAATTGCCCTTTAATTCCAATAATAAAAGGCCAGATTGTTGCTTCAGGCCCAGCTGGCTCCCGTTTTCTTGGCTACAAAAGGAGCCACGGTGATGCAGAGTGGGTAGAAGCATAAAGTGCGTCTCTTTCCTCTGCTCGAACTGGATTCTTGTTGGGGGCAAGACAGTTGGCCGAAGAAATGAATGGGCAGCTGTGTGAACATGCTTTGCAAATTGTTAGGTGTGATTTAATAAATTGTGATTCGTTGCTCTTAAATGTGGAATGGTCAGAAAACATCATCATCTTATTTATTGAGCCTACACACTAGGTACTGTTTTAATACTCTGAAGATACTGACCTACTGACTCCTCACAACAAGGCTATATGGTGGGTGCTACGATTATGCCCATTTTGCAGATAACAAAGCTGAGGCCCAGGGG